TATACTCTCCCAATACCCAGGGCCGGTGCTACCTGTAAGGTGGACTAGGCAGCTTTGCCCGGGCGGTGCGTCCATGAGGGCGGACCGCACCGCCTGGGCGCAGCATGGGGAGAGGGGCTGACAGGAGGGAAGCGCTGAGCGCTCCCTCCTGTCACTCCCTCCCTGTAGCGTGGCCGAGCCCTCTATGCACTGAGTGTGCACTTCCTGTTAGTCCGGCCGGGTACAGGAAACAAAAGCTACCTGTACCCGCGGACCATACCATAGAGGGCTCGGCCACGCTACAGGGAGGTAGGGGGAGAAATTGACATGGGGGGGAATGGACAGGGGAGGGGGGGAAATGGACAGGGAGGGAGGAATGGACAGGGAGGGGGGGGAAATGGACAGTGGGGGGGAATGGACAGGAGGGGGGGAAATGGACAGTAAGGGGGGGAAATGGACAGGGGAATGACAGGAGGGGGAATTGACAGGGGGTGAATGATAAGGAAAAGCCAGGAGTCAGGGATGCCAGAAAACAGGGAAGTCAAAATCAATGCCAAAGTCAAATAACCAGAATCAATAACGCGCTCTCGGACAACCACAAGGGAAACCACGACAGAGCACTGAGCAAGAGGAGAACTGGGCCTAAATACCCTGCCTGTGGATCTGATTGGGTGTAACCGGCCATTGACCCCAAAGGCAGTTACCAGGTTCTTATTTGCATGATTGCACCTCAACACAAACCCTCCTGTGGATTGATTGCTGCTCGCACAACTTTTCCTGTCAGGACATTAATGTTGCTCGGCACAACTTTTCCTGTCAGAACAGTAAATGCCATGAATCAAATTATTATGTGCGGATGAATACGTGACATTTAATGAGCTGATGTGGTCTGGGTGCCTAAAGTGTCCCTTTAAGCAAAAGTTGTCTTCTTGACTAGAGTGTATCTTTAAAGATACAGTAAAGAGAGTTGTCATTAACTGTACATTTTCGTGCTGGACAAAAGTGGTAAGTGCTGTCCCTTAGGGGTACGTTCTGAAACCACTTCAATTAAACTTATAAATAAATGATCTTGAAATAGACATTGAAAGTCACTTGTCAGCGTTTGCAAATGACACAAAATTAGGTAAGTTAATATATAATGTGAGCACAATATTACTTTGAGATTTCGATAGATTTGGGGACAAAGCGCTCAAATGTCAGATGAAATATAATGTAGACAAATGCAAAGTTATGCACTTTGCTGAAAATGCACAAGCAACTTTTACCTTACATGGTAGTGAGTTTGGAAAAACCACACATGACAAAATGCAAACCAGTGTCTGCATCAATAAGATTAAGTTGTAAAAGTTCCTACAGTGTCCTTTTAAATTTGATTTTCTTGTTAAATTCTCATTTTGGTGAATAAACCTGTGTGTTTATGTTATTGCCTTGGGTGTATCTATGTTAAATAAGAACCTCCATTATACCAATATATCATTAAGGTTATTTGAGTACCAGCTAAATGACTAACCAACTTTAATTCTAGGATCTCACTCTGTGTCTCCTTCTCCTCTTCTTTTTACAAAACAAAGAGGAATAAAAACCAGAAACCATCACCCAGATTGTTCCTTTTAAGTTCACTGACTACCAGTACTTAAACTTCACAAAGTGATATTTTTTTTTTTGCTTCCTAGCTAGAAATATCACGCCTTGGATACAGAGCTCTCTGCTCCTCCCTCCATTCTGTTTACAGTCCCTCCCTCTCTCTCTCCATAGTTGCACGTAGGCAACAGGAGCCGCCGCCATAGTGGCTGCTGGATAAAAACATACGCCATTAGTCTGGCAGCTTCACTGGCAAAAGGACACACTCTGGCTTGCTTCCTGGTCTTTGCTCTCATAAGTGAAAAAAAATACAATTTAATCATTTTTTTTTAATTACAACCATAAATGTATTTCCTTGATTTATTTTTTTAAAGATTTACCCGCCTGAAACACCCCCCCCCCCTTTCCCTTCCTTGTTAGCCTCCTAGTGAGAGAAGAAGGTGCATTGCGCATGCGTAAAGAAGACACTGCCTCTCCATCTTCTCCACCTCACTGGGCTGCTTCCTCTTAACCCCTTTAATACAGGGAGGCTCTGACTACCCCATGGCCATCAGCATAATAGAGTCCTGTTGGCCATATTTGCATTAAATGGCAAACACTGTGGTCTGCTGAGAGGCAATTCACTCCCCAGATTGTTCTTTTCATGTGAATAATAATAGAATCGTCCCCACCAACACCTAGCTGAGCTGTTAATTGTGTAAATGGTGCTCACCCCCCCTTCTTCTTTTTTTTTTTTTTTGTAGCTCATGTAGGCAGAAGTGAGAGAAACCAACACAAAAAGCAGGTTTCAGTCACACACTTAAAATAAAATATGCACAACACTCCACAGGGTGCCAAGATGTATGACTCCAAGGAAATTTTGATTCCATGCTCTTTATTTAGACCCTATTACTGTCAGTTCAATTTCCATAAAAACAAGATGTAATTCGGCAGAAGCACTTTTTTTTTTTTTTAATAAATACGATACAAATAAATAATAATAAATATATATATATATATATTTTTTGTTATTATTATTTTTATTTTATTTCAATCATATCCTGCCTGTGGGAATCTCTCTTTCTTTTTTTTTTTTTTTTAAATGTATTTATTTATTACTGGACATGGGAAACTATTTCTTTATGAGTTGGATGTGAAAAGTGCTATCCCTGTTGAAATAAATCAATACATGAATTCCTTTACTGAAGAATAAAGACATCTACGCCTCATAGAGCCTAACTTTTCCATGTGCTGCCCACCAGCTAGTAAGACCAATGTGCCCAGAAATAAGGACATAATAATGGTTTAAAGTAAAGAAATTGACCAAAGTTGACTTAACATGCTGCTGTTGCAAAATTCACCATTTCTATAATTGAAAACTTCAAATGTGCACTCAGTGCTGGTAGAAACAAAATGCCTTACAACATGTGAAACATACTTGTTCAAAAAGTAATTTGTATGAAATAATTTAGTAAATATGATATTCCCTGAATAATGGCTATAAAGTAATATCTGTGACACACATATCTGATACATTGTCACTCCATTTTTATTATTATTATTATTTTTGTAAGAGGAACATGTTGCTCTTTCAGTGTATCCAGTTCTTCTCTAAACATGTCTTGTGTGAATAACAAATCGTATAACCCTTGGCTGCCAACAAGTCACTGTGTTGCTGGCCCTCCAGTTAACACACAACACTTTCAATGTACTCCGCTATGGTCACGGGAAGAGTTAAAGCGCGGGGTGGCAGTCTCGCCGTCGCTCGCTAGGTGTCGCTGTGCCCCAGCGAGAGCCGGCCAGATCCTTGTGACCGCCAGGTGGCGCCTGCGCGCCTCATTCGTATCGGAGTCGCCGTAGAGCAAACAACTCAAGCCGAGCCTGAGCCGCCGCCAAGCTGCCTATTATTTGCCATATTGGCTCGGAGCAGTGACTAGGCCTCGCGGTCTCCCCTCTTCCCGAGGAGGGAGTTCGCCGGGACTGTGGGATTAGCAGCCGGGGCTGTGGGACGAGGCCTTCCCCCCAGGGAGGCGCGCTGTGAGGGAGCCGAGGTAAGTTGTAAAATGGCGGACACGCTGGCCGGGGGGAAGTTTCTGGCTCGGTGCGGCCTGTCTCCGGGGGGCAGGAGCCAGGCAGGGGTGGGAGGGGGGGTCGTGCTGTCCCCGGGTTTCTCCCTCTGTGTCCTGAGAGGGAGTCTGAGTCAAGATGGTGGCCAGGCCTGGCCGGGGAAGCAGCGCGGGCGGAGGGGGAGCGAGGAGGGGAGTGTGAGAGGGGGAGGAGGACAAGGCCTAATCATCCTTATACTCAGCCTGGGTTCCCGCTGCCCA